TACCAAAAAAAAAAAAAAAAAAAAAAAGGCAGAGATTGGCCAGTTTTGGGGGTACATGCCTGTGAGCCCAGCACTCGGGAGGCTGTGGCAGAAGAATCACAGAATTTGAGGCCAGTCTGAGCTATACCGTGTGTTCAAGGCCAGTCTGAATTACATAGTAAGAACCTGTCTCAAATAAAAAGAAAGAAAGAAAGAAGAAAGAAAGAAAGAAGAAAGAAAGAAAGTGAGAAAGAAAGAAAAAAAGAAAGAGGCAGAGGACTTGAATACATTCTTCAGAAAAGATTTATAAATGGCTTATAAGCACATGAATATGCTCAATATCATTAAGTAGTAGGGAAACACAAAAGTACAACAGAAGGGGTCAGCCAAACAGCTCAGAGGATTAAAGCGCCTACAAGCAGGTACAGGGGCCAGGGGTTCAATCCCCAGGCCTGCCGTGCTGCTGCTCCCCCACCCCCACCTCGGGCTGAGATAGCAATTGAGACTGGGCATGGTGACCTGTGCCTGTAATCCCAGCTCTTGGGAGGTGGTAAACAGGTGGATCACTACAAATCTGATCTAGTAGTGAGACCCTGAATACCCTGTAGACCCTTACCTAAAAATACAAAAAGCCGGGGGGGGGGGCCTGGGGAGATAGCTCAGTGGAATAAGTGCTTGCCTGGCAAGTGCAAGGTCCTGAGTTTGATCTCTGGTACCACTAAAAAAAAAAAAAAAAAAAAAAAAAAGTACAACACAAGGGGTCTTGCTGGTTAGCTCAGTTGTTTAAGTGCCTGCTCTGGCAAACACAGTCAGGAGGAGGGGACCACAGTTCGATCCCCGCTCCACATGCGTTACCAGACCCGCCCTTAAGGGTGCCTGAGCCAGACAAAAAAATCAAAAGTACAACATAAGTAGGGCCCTGGGTTCATGTTTTAGGATCACAAAAATAAAACCACTTATTAAAAAGCTTTCGCACAGCAAGAGAAACCACCAACAGAGTGAAGAGACAACCAACAATGTGGGAAAAAATGTTTGCCAGCTGTTCTTCGAATAAAGGATTACTATCAAGAACATTAAAGAGGGGGCTAGGGAGATGGCTCAGTGGAATAAGTGCTTCCCTGGCAAGCATAAGGGTCTGAGTTCAATCCCTGGTTCCACCAAAAAGAAAAAAAGAACATTAAAGAACAACAACAACAACAAAAAAAATCAAACCTCCTAAATTTAAAGATCCAATCCAAAAATGGGCATGTGAGATAAATACACACTTCTCAGATGAAATACAAACAGCAAATAAATATATGAAAAAATGTTCAACATTACTGGTCACTTGAGAGATACAAATTAAAACAATACTGGGATTCCATCCCACCCCAGAAAGAATGGCTATCATCAAAAAAATCAACCTGTACCTGGACATGGTGCTGCACACCTGTGATCTCAGCAGTTGGGAGGCTGAGGTAGGAGGATCATTGAGAGTTTGAGACCAGCCTGGAGGTCAGCCTGACCTGCAGATTGAGATCCCATCTCAAAAAAGACCAGAGAGAGCAAGAGAAAGAGAGAGCAAGAGAGCGACAGTGAGAGTGAGAGCAAATGTCAACCAATAACAAATGCAGGAGGAGCTGTCAGGGGAAACGGAACCATTGTCCATTATTGGTGGGAGTGTAGACTGGTGCAGAGATTCCTCAAAAAACTGGGATTGGAGGACTCATAGACCCAGCTATTTCCCTTCTGAGTATCTTCCCAGAAGAATTAACATTGTACCTCAGTGAAGTATGTGTACCCATGTTTACAGCAGCACAATTTGTAATAGCTAACTCTTGGAAACGACCCAAATGTCCATCAACTGAGGAATGGATAGAAAAGATATCAGCCACAAAGAAGGATAACCTGGAGACTTTTATAGATAAAGAGATGCAACTTGAGACCACACTCATAAGTGAAATAAGCCAGAGTCATGTGTGTAAGCATCACATTGTCTCCCTAGTGTGAGGAGTGAAAGAGTAAATGTGGGGCTGGCGAGATGGCTCAGTGGTCTAAAGCACCTACTTGGAACAAGCTTAGCAAAGCACAGGGACCGCGGTTCGATCCCCCAGCACCACAAACCAGCCAGCCCGCCCCCTGGTGGGCTGAGCTGGACACACACACACACACACACACACACACACACACAATAAATAAATAAATGTTTAAAAAGAGTAAATGTGATCCAAAATGTACAATCGATATTGTGAAATGGGGAGAATCTGTTCAAAAGGAAAGAGAAACTGGGATGGGGAAAGGAGAAAGGAAGGAAGAGAAAAACAAATATATA